CCCTGCCAGGCGAGGAGGGAGGCCCCCAGTCAGTAAGTGCGCACACACTCACACCCGCGGCACAGACACACACGCCCATGCTCACACCTGCCCGCCCCCACCCCCGGTTCCCTGAGCCGCAGCCCTGACGGAGCCCTCCAGCTGCTGCTGTGTGGTGGTGTTGGAAGCATTCCTGGTCTGGAGGAAGATGCGCGGAGTGGCTCATGGGGAAGGGGGAGGCGGGGGGCCCAGCTGGGTCGGGGGCTGTGGGCTGGTGTCAGCCTGCTGCACTGGGCTAGAGCCGTGCCGGGGCAGAGGGCCGCAGCAGGTTGGCACCATGGCTGTCTTGTGCAGCCCAGAGCGATGCTGTGGCCTGGAGCTCACCTGGCATGGTGAGCATGGGGCAGCTCTCCTGGAACTGGTCTCTCAGGTCTGCAGCTCGTGCTATTAAGCGCTGGTGCGGGACTCCTGGGTTTGAGGGCAAGGCACGGCCTGGCCTGTGGTGCGCAGAGCAGGCCGGGCTCAGGACCCTGGGGATTCTTAGGGCTTCCAGCTCGCCCCAGTAACCCTCTGCTTCCCCTCCAACCCCCCTCAGAGCGGCACCGGACAGCGCAGCCAGGGCAGCTCCATCCCCCAGAAATCCCAGGCCAACAAGTCCGCCTACAACAGCTATAACTGGGGCGCCAACTGAGGCTGCAGCGGCCCTGCGCACCTCGCCACTCGCTTCTGGAAGAGAAACGTACCGAAAACGACGACAAAGGAACCCGGGGAGGAGGGAGCGCCCCCTATCCCCCGGCACAGCGCCAGCAGCCCCCGGGGCAGGCCGGCCACTTGGCTCTGCATTGTGTCTGTTTTCAGCCACCTTTCCTGTTGTATGTAATATAGAATTTGTATTCTCTCTCTCTCTCTCTCTCTCTCTCTCTGCATTCAGACTGAACCGTTTGCCGTAGGGGCCTTTTTTGGTTTTTACTCCTTTCTCTCCCCGACTTCTCCCCCATCCTGCTGCCCCCTGACCCTGGTGGACCTAAAGGAGTGGAAAGCTGCAAGCCCACCTACAGCAAACCCCCTTTAATATTAGGAATAAGAACAGTAATTGATATGAACAGCATTGTCCGATGAATTAGTTGAAGTGTTTTTTGTACTGTGTTCTAAATTTAATGGATAAATGTGTCTTGTATATAAAAACGAAAACCCCACGCCGTCCTGGAGTCCTCATTTCCTCAGCACACTCCACTGCTCCCACAAGCCCAGGAGGGAATGTGTAGGGAAACCTCTCTTTATTTTAAGTTCTCCATCTGCCCCCTTCCCCACAGTGGGCCCCAGGCCAGGCCCTTCGCCTCCCCCCTTGCACGCTGTAAGTATATTCTGCTTTTGGGTTTTTTTTGGTCTTTTTTTCTATGCAGTCCAGATCTTGTATTTTTCAGTTGGAATTGGTCACTTCAAATGAAGCCCCCGTGCGGGTTATTTACTAAAAGAGAATAAAGATCACAAAGTGATGTGTGTATTTTTTAATACCTACCTTCTGAGCCTTGATCAGGATTTTTGGCACTGGGCCCTGGAGCACGTCATGGATGCTGGAGAGGGAAAGCGGTGGGCCGGGCCCTGTCCCGGTATATTGATGGGTAGTGGAGGAGGCCAGGCACGCTCCATCTCTGGGCCTGCATGTCCCCTTTTTGTCTTGAGATGCTGACCCCTCCCCTCTGTGGTCCCCAGGCATCTCTGCCCTTTCCAGGGCACTCATCTTGGTGGGCCCAGGTGCAGGCATGTTCTCCTGCCCAAGGCGAAGCAGTCACTGGCTGCAGGCGGTGACCCAATGGGGCTGTTCTCTTGTTAGGAGGTCTTTGGTTAGTCCCCACTCCGAGGCTGCCTGTCTACTGCATGCCACTGCCAGATGGGCAGGCCCAACGCCTCCTTACTGCCCCCTGTCTAAGGCTGTGCAGGGGTTCTGGCCCGAGTCCGCCAGGGCCATTCCCCCACTGTGCCTCTGGCAGGGGATGGTGCAGGAGTCTCTTGGGCAGAGGCTGCCACCCAGTGGTAACTAATAGACTAGCTACTGCTGACTTCCCTGCGTGGGGAGGATGGGGCTGGCTTTACAGACCCGACGCTGAAATCCCAGTCTGGCTACGGTGCTGCAGGGCCACAGCTGGGCTGGGTGCGGGGGCCTCACTACATGGAGCCAGCTGGCAGCTGCCCAGGCCCTCCTCACCCCCCTCCCCAGTCCCAGCCTCGCCCCAGAGCGTGGGTCCCCCCCTCATTTTTTTTCCCAGGGCTCCCGCCTTGCAGTGACCAGTTCTCCTCCTCTCTGTCTTGGAAGCAGTAGGGGCTGGTGGGTTGTGGGACCTGTCTCGGGCTTGGTAAATTGAACAGGCGGTTGGTTGGTCGCACCTTGGTTCGTAATGAAACCTACTGGAGACCAGAGAGCTGACATCAGCCAGGTTTTTTGCTGAAGTCAGTCACGTGGTGCAGCTTTTTGGTGCAGCATGGCTCAGTACGCACCCAAGGTGAAGCTACGTGTGTCCTCCGGGAGCAGGGGTAGGCTGATCTGACACCTTCCAGAACTCGCTACCTGTCCCTAAGGTCCGACCCATCAGTTTGTTCCCTTTCCTTAGCTTCTTGCTCTGTCTGTGCCTTCTCTTCGGTCTGGATACTCGCGTGCGAGGTTCTGCTCCAGTCCCCTGCTTGTCCCAGGACAGAACGTTGCTCTCTGCACCTGTGACAAGTTTCCTGTTTGCTGATACCAAAGCTGACCTCAGCTTTGCAAAGTGCTCTGGGATTCGCAGCCATTTGGGCCCAGGAATGGTTAGAAATCCCTGTGCGTGTTGGCGATGCGTGCTGGTGTATGTGGTGTGAAGAACACAGATTGATGTGATCTACCTGAGCCTGGCCCATACTGATCAACCTGCTGGGGGCAGGAGCGGCCCCTTCCCCAGTCAGGGGGCTTTGCAGGAGGTGCGAGTGCATGACTGCAGGGGCCTGCGCCAGGCCAGAGCTGTGTGTGGCAGTGGCTAAGAACATCCAGGCTGGCCCTTGGTTCCTCGAGGGGTGTGGCTCCTGCTGGTCCCCTGCCCTGCCCGGTCCCCAGTTGGTGCTGTGCGGGGCCCTCAGCAGCAGGCTCCTGTAGGCTCCAAGCTGCGCCCCAGGGGGCAGTTAACCCTTAATAGGGCTCAGGGCAGCTGTTCTTGCAGCAGCAGGACTGTGCAATGGGGGGTGGGGGGCAGACAGGGAGCGAGAGGGGAGCTGTGGCCCGGACACCTCATTGTCTGACAGCCCCTTTACCCCAGCTCGGCTGCACCAAGGGGCTGCGCAGACACCTCCCTGCATGGGAGACCCGGCTCTGGACCACAGTCGTTGGGGCTGGAGCCTCAGCCTGTGGCAGGCCCTGTCGAGAAGGGAAGCCGTGGTGGGTTGTTCCTAGGCCCAGCGGAAGCAGGCGGGCAGGAAGTCTCCCCTGTACCTTGCTGAGCTGCCCGCAGAGAGCTGGGGGGGGCCTGCCTTTCTAACCCAGAAGCTGCTCAGCCCCCCACGTGCACAGCAACGGATGAGCAAGAGCCTCTTCCGGCTCCGGGCCGCCTGACGGTGCCCCAGTGGGGGAGGGTACAGCGCCGGCTGACTGCACCCCTCCGGGCTGGGGCTCTTCTGCAGGGTAAGGCCAGGTCAGACCCGGTGGGGGGCAAAGACTGACCGAGACCTCCCGCTCCTGCCAGCAGTATTGGAGGGAGGGCAGATCCCATGTGCCAGGGGTGCCTTCCCCATGGGAGGACTTTATTGAATATACCCTGGGCAGGACGAATGAGACATGGGGGGAGGTTACCTGGCCCCGTGGCGGTGTGTTTTGGGGTGGGGGCGGTGCTGGGGGGGGCAGTAGAAGGCCAAGCCTGTGCCTGCTCTGCCCCCTGTAATCACAAGTCCTATGGCTGCTCTTCTGGGTGCTGCATGGCAGGACAGTGCCTGTTTTCAGCCTGTCCTCATGGCCGAGTCCCTGCTCCAATCACAGCACCGGGGAGAGGGGAGGTGCAGCCTGTGGTGTGACGGGGAGGGGGCGGCTGGTGGGGGGACACCTGGATGAACCCCAAAGCGCAGCATCCTGGCTACTTGTGGTGCAAGGTACCTGGCACTTCTCTAGATGCGTGTCCTGGCCAAATGGGCTGTTCCCCTCCCCATCCCTTGGTCCCCGGTAGGTGGGTTGGTGCATGATCCCTGCCCTCAACAGCTGGCACTTAAGACACGTTGCCCGGCTCACCATTGGACAGTTCAATCCAAACCTCCGGCTTCTTGCTGCTCCCCGAGAGGAGCAAGGAACAACCTGCTCTCAGCTGCCCTCTGCACACAGCTGGCTAGGTCCAGCACCCCGGAGTGAACGCAGACAGGCCACTTTCATTTGGGGTCCCATGTGCGGGTAGAAAGCTGCAGGGTCTGGGCAACCAGTGCCTGTCAGGGCATGGGGTCTGGCCAGCCAATGCCCATGGTATCTGAGTGACTGGTGCCCATCAGGCCATGGGGGTCCAGGCTGCAAACTTGAAACAGAATAAAACCCCTGTTTTATTTGTTTTTAAATCTCATTACAAATCTGCTGCTGCTGTTTGTTTGTTTGCAAAACTCTTTTTTCCCCTTGAACCAAACCTGGCTCTGGGTGCCGAACGACACCTCACCCCCACCCCGTTCTTCCTGTTCTCCAGCTGCCTGGTTGCATCCCAGAGGTGGCTGAATCCATCGCTGGCTAGTTTGTAAAGTGCTTCTGGATGCAGGATTCAACTGGTGTGGTTAGAGTCCTACTCACCCAGCAGTGGGCGCTGCCTGCCCTCTCCCAGAGCCTCATCGCTCTCACGGGCCACCAAATCCCAAAGGCCACTGGAGTTTGCTCGGTCTCGGTCCCAGCCCCACCCAGAACATGAGACAGCCAGCGCCATGCTTGCCCCCGGTCATGCAGGGGTTAAATGGCTCCCTCCCATGCCAGGGCAGGTTCTGTCTAGATGGCACCTTAAATAACTCAGTGGCTCTAAAGCACCCGGTGATGACACGCTTGGGAGAGCGAGACTGTGGTGGTGGTTGGGGGTGCCCAGGCCAGGCCATGTCGCACGGAGACGGAGCAGGGTCCTGCAGGTGGAGGGTCCAGGGAATCAACCCCACTTTGGCCTCTGCTTCCAACAGGTCCAGGTGGGACGCAGTAGCCCCAGGCACCCTGCGGTCGGCATCATCTCCTCAGTCGCTGCCCCGGACCTGTCGGGCGAGGCTGGGAGGCCCCGTCACTCTGGGAAGAAGCCCAGTGCACGGGGGAGCATCCCCCCAGGAGGGACGTGTAGGGATTGGCTGGGGGAGGCTGATGGATCCAGCAGGACCGGCTACGCGGGACCCAGTGGGATCAGCTGGGGATCCCTGAGCCGCCCCGTGGGACTTGGACTCGGAGCTCTCTGACCCGCTGCTGGGAATGGAGCCAGACGCTGCCCAGCCCCCCTGCCTGGGCCCTGGCCCTGGTCAACCTTGTCCTGGGAGCTGGGCTGCCACAGCCAGGCCTCGGAGAGCTGGGAGCGGTGATGTCCCGCAGGGGCCAGGGCCCTCCCGGCTTTTCCAAGTCAGGCCCCTGCAGGAGGCGTCAGCCCAGAGGGCCCTTGGCCTCTCGTGCCTCAGCCTGCAGGAGCGGATCAGACGCTTCCAGAAGAGCTTGGCTGCAAGCGAGGAACCCAGCCCCCGGGCCCCCAGCCCCAGGGCCCGGGGGCGGGCGGGCCAGGAGCCGAGGCCCAGTGGAAGGGACTGGCCGCCCCGCAGGAGTGAGGAGAGCGTCCTGTCCAGCAAGGCCCCAGGCTTGTGCCCCAGCAGCTCCAGGCCCCCTGCCCAAAAGGAGCGGACGGAACCAGCTGGGGAGACGCGGCCCCCGCCCGGCGGGACCAGGGGCCCCAGCGTGGGGCCAGGCTGCTCTGTGCGGGAGCAGGTTCGCTCCATCGAGCTGCGCTTTGGGGCGAGCCAGGCTCCCTGGGCGGCCGCTGCCCCCCGAGGCAGAAGTGGGCTGACGGGGGCCCCAGCAGCTGGGCCCCAGCGAAGCCGGGCAGCCTGGGGTGGGGAGAAGGAGCCACGGCCCCCTGGGAAAGGGCAACGATCCTCAGCCCTGCCAGCTAGGCTGTGCCTGCCCCAGCCAGAGCCACCAGCCCCTGAGCGGCCCCAGGGTGGTAGGAAAGACAATGCAGCACTTCGCCTGGGGGCACTGAGGGCAGGAGCCAGAGCTCCAGGGCTGCCCCAGGCCCCCCCAGACGCCCGCAGACCCAAGGCGGCCCAGGGGGAAGGTCCAGCTGGTGAGGGGCTGCCGGGGACCGGGCCTGCTGGGGGGCCATTGCAGAGCCACCTGCCCAGGCGTGGACCCCTGACATCCTCCCTGCTCCCTGCAGAGGGCAGGGCCCCAGAGCCGCCCCCAGCCCTGCCCCTCGCTCCCTGGGGCCTGGGGGAGTCCGACGGGGACGACTCTGACTCCACAGAGTCCTCACTCACCACCCCCAGTGAGCAGAGGCAGCCCCACGGCCGGAGCTTCGCCCTCAGGTGGGTAGCCGTGTTGGAGCCGGCCTTGGGGGTGCTCTGGGGTCTCCCCTCCAAGCCATCCTGGGGCTGGGGAGCTCTCACCCCCTTCTGCTCTGCTGGGAGGCCTGGCACCCTACCGGTACCAAAGCCAGGGTCACTCCTGTGCCACGTGCCCCTGGCTGGGTGGGTGAACATCGCACTGAGAACCCAACGCAGCCACCCTTGGCAGAGCCGGGCAGGACCCAGGAGCTGAGCGGGAGGGGCAGGGAGCAGGGCTCTGCCAGGGTGGGTGAGGGCCTTTGGCGGGCAGCTGGGGTTGGTGCTGGGTGCCTGAACCCTAGGGAGATAGCGGTGGTGCTGGAGGGTGCATGTGGGTGCTGGGGGGCAGAGGTGTGAGGTGCTGGGGACGGGGGATGAGTGCTGGGGAGCAGGGTTGGTGGGGGGCAGGCGTGGGTGCTGGGGGGCAGTGTTGGGAGGTGGGGGGCAGGCATGGGTGCTGGGGGGCAGTGTTGGGAGGTGGGAGGTGCCGGGAGCAGTGTTGGGGGGTGGGGGCAGGTGTGGGTGCTGGGGGGCAGTGTTGGGAGGTGGGGGGCAGGCGTGGGTGCTGGGGGGCAGTGTTGGGAGGTGGGAGGTGCCGGGAGCAGTGTTGGGGGGTGGGGGCAGTGTTGGGTGCTGGGGGGCAGTGTTGGGAGGTGGGGGGCAGGCGTGGGTGCTGGGGGGCAGTGTTGGGAGGTGGGAGGTGCTGGGGGCAGTGTTGGTGGGGGCAGGTGTGGGTGCTGGGGGCACCATGGGGGGACGGGCCCCTGGCCGTGATGGGGTTTCTCCTGCCCCCAGCCTGGCCGAGCTGATGGAGTTTGGCCCGGACAGGAAGGAGGCGCCCTTGGATGAGGGATGCTCAGCATCACTGAACTCCAGCCTGTCCAGCCTGTCCGTGGTGTCCCCGATCCCAGCCCAGGACCTGGAGCAGCTGCTGCAGGAGGTGAAGGGCCTGGGAGAGGAGAGCCTGCAGGTATGTGCCACCCGAGGGGGCGCCATCTGTCTGTCTGTCTGTCCCCCTCACCCTGCGCACGGGACCCGTCCTTCCGGCTGGGCCCCAGGCAGGCCCCAGGTTGGGTGGGGTCAGAGTGAAGAGGCTTGGGCCAGGGCTTCGCGTGTGACAGGGGCTCCCCGTCAGGCCGGGGCTCCCGTGTGACCCCCCTGTTGGGCCGGGGCTCTGTGGTGGGCAGGGGCTCCCCGTGTGACCCCCCCGTCGGGCCGGGGCTCTGTGGCGGGCCGGTCAGGGGCCGGGTAGTTAAAACCGATCCTTCCTGCGGCCTGGGATCCAGCTGCCAGAGGAGCACGGGCCCGACATGGTGCAGCTGGTGGGGGCGTGTCATTGCCCAGCCCAGGTGCCCAGGTGCAGACCGGGGTGGAGGGGAGCCTTGACCCCCACCTCCGGGGTCTGCAGAGACCCTGGCCCCTAACGCGCCTCTCTCCCAGCAGCACCTCAAGGAGATCCAGGTGGTCGTGCTGCACAAGGACGAGGGGGCCGAGCTGGGCTTCAGCGTTGCAGGGGGGAGCGACCAGCACAAGAGGGTGACGGTGAGTGCCGGGGTCCCCCAGGGAGCAGCAGTGGGAGGGGAGCCTGGGGCCGGCAGGATGAGAGTGGAGGGTGGGCTTTGACTCTAGGGGCTAATGCAGCTCCCCGCCCTGATTCCCTGCAGATCCACCGCGTCTTTGCCAGCGGCCTGGCCGCCCAGGAGGGCACCATCCAGCCGGGGGATGAGGTTCTCTCCATCGACGGGCACTCGCTGACAGGCTGCAGCCATGGGGAGGCGCTGCAAACGCTGCACCGGGCCCAGGCCGCCCGGCAGGCCATTGTGGTGCTGCGGAAGGGGGCAGTGGATGGGCTCCCCAACGGCTCCCTCCCAGCGCCGGTCCCACAGCCCCCTCCATCAGCACCGGGTGAGTGACGGCCAGACAGGGCCCTGAGCTGAGCAGGGAGAGGCTGGCGTCTGACAGCTCCATCTGTCTGTCTCCCCGCCACGGTGAGGCCCATGCAGGTGGTGAAAGATGCCAACGGACTCAGATTCAGCCTGGATGGGGGACGGGGGTCGCTGCAGGGGGACAGGCCACTGGCCGTCAAGAAGATCTTCCAGGGTGAGAGACCGGGGGTGCGGGGGGGGGGGCAGCGTAGGGGTCAGGGCTGCGGAGCTGGCCGAGATGGAGAGGGAGGGAGACAGCGGCGGGGGGAGGCTGACTGGGGGGGGGGCGCTCTGCTCAGGAGCAGCTCCCAGCCCGTCGCTGCCCTGTGGGTCCCAGCGCCTGTGTCATCAGGGGGGCCTGGCTGTACCGTCCCAGCAGCCCCACTGGGGAGAGGACTCAGGGACAAAGCCACCCATTGCAAGCAGAGAAATCCCCCCGCCTCCCGGGCTCTCCCTACAGTGTGTCTCTCCCCATGGGCCCTGGGGCCTGCTTCATCACCCTGGCTGCATGTGGACCCAGTGCAGTCCCCAACACGACATGCCAGCAGCCCCTCGATCCAGGTCCCAGGGTCCAGGCTCGTCACCCTGGTGTCTCCTGCAGGGGGCCCTAAGGACCTACTGCAGCCTGGGGACGAGCTGCTCCAGATCGGGGAGAGGAGCCTGCAGGGGCTGATGTGGCTCGAGGCCTGGCAGCTCATCAGGGCCCTGCCCATGGACCCGTCCAGCTCCTCGTGAGAAAGAGGGGGAAGCCCTGATGGCCGTGAGATCTGCACTCAGACTGGACTTGAGCCCCCAACAGCGCTGGCATCTCCAGATGGCTGGGGCAGACACAGACATGGTTTTCTCTGCTGGGGTCTTGTTTCCTGGGCCTCAGTTTCCCTGTTCATAGAATGAGGAACATAATCCTGCCTTCGTCTGGCCTGTTTATATCATGAGCACTTCAGGGCAGGGACAGTCCCTGGGTGACTGGGCTGCGCCCAACGGGCCCTGATTTGGGTGGGGATCTGGCATGATGGGGACCCTGATCTTGCTCAGGGTCTGTGCCACGCTCAGCACAAGGGGTGCTTTGATTTCGGCTGGGGTCTGTGCATGCCCAGCAGAAGGGGCTCCCTGGTCTCGGTGTCTGGGCCGTGCCCAGCATGACAGAGCCTTGCTCTTGGTGGGGACCATGCCCAGCACAAGGGGCCCATCTCTCTGGGGTGGGGGCCGCGCCCGGCACAAGGGGCCCCGCTCGCTCTGGGGTGGGGGCCGCGCCCGGCACAAGGGCCCCTTCTCTCTGGGGTGGGGGCCGCGCCCGGCACAAGGGGCCCATCTCTCTGGGGTGGGGGCCACGCCCGGCACAAGGGGCCCCGCTCGCTCTGGGGTGGGGGCCGCGCCCGGCACAAGGGGCCCATCTCTCTGGGGTGGGGACCATGCCCGGCACAAGGGGCCCATCTCTCTGGGGTGGGGGCCGCGCCCGGCACAAGGGGCCCATCTCTCTGGGGTGGGGGCCGCGCCCGGCACAAGGGGCCCATCTCTCTGGGGTGGGGACCATGCCCGGCACAAGGGGCCCATCTCTCTGGGGTGGGGGCCGCGCCCGGCACAAGGGGCCCATCTCTCTGGGGTGGGGGCCGCGCCCGGCACAAGGGGCCCATCTCTCTGGGGTGGGGACCATGCCCCACAAGGGGCCCATCTCTCTGGGGTGGGGGCCGCGCCCGGCACAAGGGGCCCATCTCTCTGGGGCTGGGCGGGACATGGCGGGGGAGGGGTAACAAGTACACACATAAAAGGCAGAACAATGGGATGTGTGTGGGCTTTTTACAAGTTGTTACTTTTATTGTTTATGCTAATTTATGGGGGGCGGGGCGGGAATCCCACGTGTCCCGGTTTGACCCGCCCTCTGCGACCCAAACACAACAACGGGAGGGGCGGGGCCAGGCAGCTGCGCGGGAGAAAAAACCCACAACATTTCACGACTCTTGCGTGATTTGCTTTACGGCGACAGCGGCTGCCTCGGTTTACGGCAGGAGGGAGACTAGGAGCACGACGTGGGAGGTTGCGCTTTGCGGCGGCGCGCCCGAGGATCGTGGGGAATCGCCCGAGCGTCGGGCTGGGGTCGCTTTACGGCGGCGCGGCGCCACTCAGGCCGCAATCGCCTCCCCGCGACAGGGGGCGGCCGCGCTTGACGCGCGAAGGGGGCAGTCACGGCAGCGGCCGCGCTTTGCGGTAGAGGCGGCAGCGCGACAGAGGAGCCGTCTGGCTTTACGGCAGTAGCGGGATGAGCCTTTACGAGCTGTTCCGCGGGTTCTTCGGCTTCCCGCGGGGCCGCAGGTTCGAGACGCGGAGCCGCCTGGAGCAGCAACGTCCCGCCCGCCGGGCTCGGCCCCCCATGGTGCCCCGGCCCGAGCCCAGCAACCATCTCCCCGGGCTCGCCCCTCCCACTCGGGCCCCCCCCCGGAGCCTGGCCCCGCCCCCCACTCGGCCCCCCCCGTGGCCCCGGAGCCTGGCCTCGGCCCCCCCCGTGGCCCCCCGGGGCCTGGCCCCGCCCCCCACTCGGCCCCCCCCCGTGGCCCCCGGAGCCTGGCCCCGCCCCCCACTCGGCCCCCCCTCATCAGCCTGGGCACGGCCCCCAGAGGTGCCCTGCCTCGGGAGTGGGACATTCCCCCAGAGGGTGGGGGGCTCTTCCCTGGTTGGGGGGGCCCTTCCCTCCTCATGCTGATGCCCTTTGCCATGACTCCTTCTCTTCTCCACCCCCCCTCATAGGCCCCGGGACCCTTTCTTCGGGGGCATCACCCGGGATGAGGATGAGGAGGATGAATATGATGAAGACGGGGGCCCCTCATTTGGGGTGCGCCCCACCGAGGACTTTGGGTTCAGCTTCAGCGGGATGCGCTTCCATGACAACTTCGGCTTTGACGAGCTTTTCCGTGACTTTAACGAGCTCTTCAACGAGATGGGGGCCTGGACTCTGCCCTGCCAGCCTTTCGGTAGGGTGCTGCGCCAGGCCGGGAGCAGGGCTGGGATCGGCAGGGTCCAGGGGCTGCTGCTGGGCCTTTCTCTGTATGGGGCTGGCATCGGCTCTGAGCAGACGGCTCCATCGACCATGGTTTCTCTAGCCCCTGCTGTTTATGATTGGCATCATCTGCTGGAGTGAGCGCGTAGAGATAATGGGCTGCGAGTCAGGACTGAGGGGCACCAGCAGCCCTGGGGTGGAGGTAGCCCAGGGTTGGGACAGCAGCATGGGGGGGATACACGTCACGGCTGAGGGCTGTTGTTAGAACAGGGGTGTGATGTGCTGCTTTCCCTCTCTGCTCCCTAGAGCTTCCTGCCACTGAGGCTGCCCCACCTGCCTCGGGCCACTTGAGTGAGGAGCAGAAACGGCAGGCGCTGCGGGACTCGATGCTCAAATATCCAGACAGTCACCAGCCCAGGATCTCTGAAGAGGGCACAGTCCCTGGGAGGGACTTGAGGGATGGTGCGGGCCTGGCAGCCCCAGGCATGAAGCCGTGGCAGCCATTTGCTGGGGTGAGTGAACACGCGAGCTCCAGCTCAGGGATGCAGCTCGCAGCCTTCACGTCTGGGTCTCACAGCAGCCATCTCTCTCTCATTGCTAGCATGGCAGGGGCGCTGCCCATGCTCTCTGTCAGTACCTCCTTAGGGATAGCAGAGGCCCTCCTGGCAGGTGCTAGCACAAGCTGGTGGGCATAGGCCTCCCCAGAAGGTAAGGCAGGTCTGTAACAAGCCATCAGAGGCCCCATCGCTTGCTCTGTATGCCACTGTAATGCCCCCACCCCTGTTAATTGGCTCTTTGCTTTCCATAATAGCTGGGAGAGATGCATCCGGCTCCCCCGAGTGCCAGAGAGGACAAAGGTCAGTGCCGATCGAGTCTGGGGGCAGCTTGTGCCCTGCGGGGACTGCATGATGATCTGAGCTTTGGGAGGAGGGTGCAGCTGGGACCCCCAGCCTGGCAGAGAGGCCAGGCCAGGCTGTGCTGGCTGTGGTAGGTGCTGTTCCAGAGCTCTCTGGACTGGGAGGGGACATCAGAGCCCTGAGACCCAAACTGCTGCACGGTCTGAGGCGGGTGCCCCAGCAGGTGGTTTGGCACGTGAGACACATCTTGGTGTTGCTGCTGCAGAGCCCCACTCTCTCCCGGGCCCTTCCCAGGATGGGGTCCCTGAGCTCCTGGAGGGAGATGCTTTGCCTGTGCTCCTGCCTTATGCACGTCCATCCTCTGCACAGATCTGGATTCCCGAGTCTCCTCGGAGGGGCTGGAGACGGTCCTGAGACCAGGCGAGCCAAAGGCCCACTCTTATTTCCAGAGCGTGTCCGTCACCACGGTGACGGGGCCCGATGGGGTGAGTGCTGCAGGGCCAGGGATCACAGGAGTGACTCCTCGGGGCTGTGTCGGGAAGGGCCGTCTCCTCTTCTCTCATTAGGGGCTTGCAAACGTGGTCCTGGGAGCGGGGTGTGTTCAGTGTGGCTCCTGCAGGCGGCAGGTGCGGCCCTCAGTGCAGTCACAGTTCCCACCCTGCACTGCCTGCCATGCCTCCTGGCTGCCGGTGACTTGGGCTCCTGCGGAGGGGCAGGGCTGCTCCAGGCTGGGTGTGACAAGGGCCTGCTGTCCCGTCCTCAGACCGTGGAGGAGCGTCGGACAGTGCAGGATAGTCAGGGGCGCAGAGAGACCGTCGTCACCCGCCGCAGAGGAGACCAGACCCTTGTCACCACCATCCCGGAGGGCGGGCAGGGCAAGGACCCTCGGGAGGAGGACACCATCCCGGATGACGGTGAGTGTGGACCAGGTGCTTCCTGTGTGGTGGGGCTGGGGGCGGGTGGTGATTGGAGCCAGTGGGGGAGTCAGGAAGAGGGCCAGGCCCAGCAGGGTTCTTGGGGACTGTCCGGGAGCGCCCAGCTCCACTGATCCCTTTCTTCTTTTCTCCAGAGGAGCTGGTGCAGTTTGTGGGTGACTGGCAGCAGCGGAGGAGGCTCCGCACTCCAGACCTGGGCGACCCCTTCTCCTTCCTGGAGACCTTCCTCCGTGGCTGGTTCTCAAGCCGATAGCCCTGGCCTCCCTCGGAGCATCCCTGGGAGTCTCCGTACGTAACCCTGGGAGAGGGAGTGCCAGGCACAGACATCCCTACTTCCTAGGCACTGGAAGAGGGTGTCTTTCCAGTCTGCAGTGCCAGGGGAGAGGCCAGCTCCTCAGGGCCTGGGCCCAGGCTGTGGCAGCCGCTTGGGGGCTCTCGGATGGGGGAGGAAGAGGCCCTGTTGAGTCTCCTGCGCTTAGGGTGGGGCAGCAGGCTCAGGGAAGGGGTGTTGATAGTTCACCTGGTCCAACAGGTGGGGGCTGGCTGGCTGGCGGCTCTGCCCCATTGCAAGCCTGGCAGGTGCTTGCTCCCTTGGCTGTAGGGGACACCTGCCGTTCTTCTGGGTCTGCTGCTGGATGTGGGGGTGAGCACCGGGGGGCACTTTCACTCCAGCTGCCCTATATTGCAGGCATGTCTGAACCCCAGCAGCGAAACCCGAGGCTACGCCAGGCCCTGGTACCCTGTGCTGGACGGGCTGCCTGCTTTCCAGGGGGATCACTGAGCTGCAGTCCCCTCCTGCCCCTGCGGGGGGTGCCATGTACATGCAGAGGAATAAAGTCCATTTATGCCACAGGCTTGATGTGAGCTGTTTGGGAGCGCCTGGTACCCACCAGTGCAGGGCAGAGCCCCTGTGCCACTCACTCTGGGGGAGCTAGAGTAGAGAGGGAACCAGTCCTGGGTGCTCGAAGGGTTGGCACCTCCCCTCTCATTTGCAGCCACTGGCAGGAGTGAGGTGGGGTTGGTGGCCTGCCTGGGCACAGGGCTGGCACCTGCCAGTGGGAAGTGATGGGCATGCACCAGCTCTGAGGGCTGTGTGGCTCTGGGAGAATGGAGACCCCTTAGCCGGGTGCTCAAGGCAGCA